TTAATTAAACTTAACTCAGCTGAAAAATCATAAAAAGTCAAAATTATTGGCTCTCTTTGTTGAATGGTGAAATTTTTTTTTATTAACTTGATTCAACCCAAAAATAGTTTTTAATCTTCATCATACCAAGTTCTAAATTTTAAACAACTCTTTGGAGATGGAGCAAAAAAATTATAAAGGGCCAAGTTGTCGTCCTTTTACCAACTTGTTCTCTCTAAGCTCTCTCGCTCTCTCTCGCTCTCTCTCTCTTTTTCTTTCACACACACAAACACACACTCAAACACAGGCATACACAAGCGGGCAGAAGTGAATTATAATGCTGGTCAGCAATATGACATTGGAGTGTGCAGTGCCAGCCATCGTCTATAGAAACGGAATATTCCAAATAAATCCTTACAGGCACATGCACAGCCCACATTTCTGTCTCTTACACACACACGCACACACACACACAAATACAAGCTCCCATATAAATCTGTCTTGGATGGAACACTTCCCTCCTGCACACGGAGCAAGCAGCTATCAATCTAAAGGAAGGAAGGAGTGGTACAGTGAAACAGTAGAAAATTGGGAAAGAGGAGCAGGAAAACGGTGGCCCTGAGACATTTTGTGGAGAAAAATAAAACGAGAGAAACTGATGGAATGAAGATGGGTGGAGTTGCATATTATTGAACAAAATCTAAATTTCATCATCTTGTTTTTCTGTAAAAGTCTTGCAGAAAAAGTTCATTCAACCAATGTAAAGTGGAAAAAAAGGAACAAAAAAAAAAAATATATATATATATATATATATATCTTCTATTGTATGGGTGTACACATGTTTTATGTTATGTTTTTATTTTTACTTTATTTTACTTTATTTTGCAAATCCGTTGTAGGACAGACCGCTACACGAGATCCTTCCTGCCCACCCATCAGCATCTACAACAACTCTTTAATGAAACCAGGATGATGAGTTACAACAACATTTAATTTCCCTCTGGGATTAATAAAGTATTTTTGAATTGAATTGAATTGAATTATTACTATACGCACCTTATGTCGAAGCAAATTCCTAGTTTGTGAACCTCGTTCATTGACATGGCAATAATAAACTGATTCTGATTCTGATATATATAGTATATATAATTGATTTACCCTTTATTTATACAGGTAGTCTCATTGAGCCACGAGAACTAATTTTCAAGAGATACTTTATTTGGCTGTGAACCTAAAATTTCCTGACCTTTTAAAATGTCTGGAGTTTCTGGACACTTAGTACTGCAAAATAAAACTTTGTTTTTGCTTCTGGGCCCGTTTTTATGTTAATCTTATTCATTTGCAGAGCTTGAAACATTATAATCATTAGCAGTACACTTTTAAAGAATCTAAGAAAATATTTGCATTTTCTCCACTTTTCTTTGCCACTCCACATACTTCATGTCTACATGAAATTACACGTTTGCATCCCTTCATCCCTCAGCATCTAAACTCAGACTTCTCAAGAACGTTTTGAGTAGCAGGCTAATGGCTCAGAGTACGAGGCTGGAGTCATTTTCCAATATCAACTTATAGATGTTCTATGCGGTGAAAATGATGGTGAACGCAGACTGTTTAAACACTGATGACTGATGAAAACGTCTTATCAGCCTCACAGGCATGAAGAGTTATGAAGTCATAATCATCAGCTGTCAATCAATTTTGTAGAGGTACCATACATTTTCAAGGAACTAAAACTGAATTATTTCACATTGAATTGAGCTTTATTCTTTATCTTGCAGCAGTCCCAGCTGAATGCATGCAGGTCAAAAACTTCATTTTGTAACTACAGACAAGATCATGAAATCATCAAAATCATCATATTTTGTGCTGCTTGAATAAACAGTCTGTCCTCTTTACGATCAAAAATCGCCTCATGGTTTTGACTCAAACACACTAACACTGACTAAACAAACACTAAACACAGTAAACTACACCCTAACTATAAAATCCAAACACACTAAATATCATAAATCTCTCAACTCTCATGACTCACTCCTGCTTTTGCTTTCTTAATTGCGTTGAACTCCATTCAACTTCCATGTCTTTTTCTTCTTCTTCCTGTAGATTTTATGTAGCTTGACAAGTATCTTCGAACCTCCGTCAGAAAGAAGGGGGGAGGTTGTTTATCTGTTCGGTGAGAGTGGAACGTGAAAGTGGACGGTGTTGTTGCAGTTTTGTCCCTGAGACTGCCCATCTTTGCTGCGGCTTTTTGCTCTTACGCGCTTCAGAAATGAAGACTTTTAGAAAAAGATGTGACGTGTATTATTTATCATAACTCTGGTTTTACTCAGCCTATCAACACGATTTAAAAAATGGTGTGTATCTTAGTCTATAATTTTGACAAAAAATAAAATATAGCCACTGATATGTTGTGTCTTTCCTGCTAGAGCGACTGAAATTGGTCATGTGACTATCACACGCTGGCACGTCGATTGACTCTAAAGGGAAAAAACATCATCTGTCAGAGTAGACGCCAGACACTTGAGTAGGTGGCGAAATTGCTGTCCGCCGCCTGTTTTTGAGAAGGCAGTAAACTAACCTTAAATTGACACTAGAAGTATCTGTGTGGGTTGTACATGGAGTTTATTGTCTTTGTTGGCGCCACCTGTGGTCGTGTTGATAAAAGACAGCCTATGTAGTGGAATTTACTACGTGTTGATGGAACTTTCTGCTTTATTTCTTAGGCATCGTCTTGCTTACTCTATTCTAAAATGACATAAAACCATTTTTTATTTGAACTTAATTGTACTGCTCATCTTTTGAACCATATGTCTAACCATAACTCCAAGTGGCAGCATCAGTGCTGAAACAAAATGCAGACTGAGGAAATTAACTGGGAAAACTGAAACAAATCTGTAGCGACATGAATCATTTGACAAGAATATTAAACTGAGTCTCTAAGTATCCACCTGTCCAGACATACAAGCAGATGAAGTTTGACCCTTCTTGTCTAGTTAATGTATAATCATGTTTAAAACCAAACAACGATTCTGATGTTTCTCTACCTGATTCAAGCCTCACCACATGCTGAGGTGCAGCAGCTAGGCACTGTGGACAAGCTCTTTAGCCTTGATGCCTCAGTGATGTGTGATGTTGAGCCAGCTCGGAGCACCTGAGCCATGAGTTAAAGACTTGATAGCATTGTTTCGACAGCAGCTGCAGCTGAGCCATTTTGCAGCTGTACCGTATAAAACAGGCCAAGAGATTCCAAATTGCTATGAGGCGTTTCAGCCTCGATACAATCTAGTATTAAGCAATCGTGTGCTTGCATTCTTGGCTATTTTTCAGTACAGTGTACCTTGTATACTGTCAAAGGCTGTATTTTTCCAAATAAAGAGGAGGGAAATAATAGTGGATATGCATCAGCATGACAGGCTCTTTTAAAGAATTCAGATAGAGGGTGACAAGCTTGAGTGAGCAACTTAATCATTGTAGATCACCAAATTTTGTATTACATCTAAAAAAACGGTGTTGTTAGTTTCATATATCTGGGTTGAATATTGTTGGAAACTACAGTTTGACCTGTCTTTTTGCTTTATGTAAAATGGATGAAATATGCTGGATTTAATTTGCTCAATGAAATATCCACCTCACACCAGAATGGCAAAAGATGCAGTTAAGTTATGGTCTGTGTTTCCAGTGAGAAAATAAACAGAATTATGGTGTTTTCTGGACCAATAATACACATCAGTGATTCTGGTGTTTCTATCATAAACTACAAAATGTGTCGATTTTATTTTAGCACTCATTGAATTCATTATATTGTCAATATTATTGAGATAATATTAATTACATCTTGAACACAAAGTAAAATACAATTTTTAAAATGTGAGAAGCATAATTATACATCGCATACATTTTAAAGAATGACTTTGTTTTAAATTACTGCAACGCTCTTTACCTTGGAGTCAGCCAGTCCTCCCTCAGACGCCTCCAGTTGGTCCAGAACGCTGCTGCTCAGCTTCTAACTGGAGTTCAAAAGAGGGAGCACATCACCCCCACTCTGGCTTCACTCCACTGGCTGCCTGTTCATTTTAGAGTTCATTTTAAGATTTTTTTATTAGTTTTTAAAAGTTTAAATGGTCTTGCTCCATCCTACCTCTCTGAGTTGCTTCACCCATACTCTCCTGCTCGGTGCCTCAGATCAGCTGATCAGCTGCTCCTGGAGATGCCGAGGTCAGAGGGGACAGAGCTTTTTCTGTTGCTGCTCCAAGACTGTGGAACGACCTCCCTCTTCCCATCAGACGAGCCCATTCACTGTCCAGTTTTAAAACTCTTTAAAAATACATTTTTACTCCCTGGCTTTTAGCACTGACTGAATTTGCTCTGCACTGTTTTTATTATTTTTATTGATTTTAATGTTTTAACAACTATTTTATGTGTTTAAATGTTCTTGATTTTATATGTACAGCACTTTGTGGCAGCTGTGTTGTTTTAAAGGGCTTTATAAATAAAGTATTACTATTATTATTATTATTATTATTAAGTAGAATATATCCCAGTAAAAAAATGTAAAGGAAAACTAAATTATTTTAGAGTTTGACCATTGTCTGCATGTCATGCCTGTAGGCTTAACAAAGTAATTTCCTGACAGAGTCCCACAGACGAGCAGGATTAACAACATAAAAATAAATATAGTCAAACATTAAGAAACATTTGTTTCATTGCTGCTTTGATGCCTAAAGTCATTTTGAAGTCTGTAAATTATTATTATTATTTTTTAATCTGGTCTGGCCAAATAGTATCAGGAAATGTTACATAATTTGCGAGTTGTAGTGCGACTGTGTCCTAAAAACAGTAATCATTTCAATTAATTTTTGTGCAAAGGTCAATATATACAGGTCTTTAATGTATTTGCTGTTTTATTTATTTTTCACATTTATTTCAGACAGTCTACACTTGCGTCATTGTCTTGAACGATTAAAGCAGGCTCTATTAGCAATGTAATACATTTTTACTTTTGTGTCTCTGTTTGTCAGAAGTGGCCCCCTACTTGCAAGGAGGTGGACGGGGGCAGCAGGTGGTGTTGGAGGGAAACAGGCTGGTTTTGACCTGCCCAGCTGGGGGCAGCTGGCCCCTGCAGTACCGCTGGACCCTCAACAACAGTAACATCACTGACTGGACACCACAGTACAGGTCAGTTAGCATACAGCGGCTGTGTCATGAAACTATTCTCTGGTCTTTGAACATGTTTCTTTCCCTTTTCATCTTTCCTTCTGATTATTTTACTTATACTTATTTCTTATGCCTGCATAAACAGCTGCAGCATAAAAGCTGTTTATGCTAGTTAGCCGAGTGTATATAGAGTCAGAGATTTCAGACAAAAGAGCCAAAGAAAGCGATTCAAACACTTGTATTAACGCTAAAAATATAAATATGGTCTGGGAAAAGAGGAGCAGAAGCAATCAATAAATCTGAGCGATTCCTTTGCTTTATCGCTCTGTACCGCTCTTCCTCTGCCTCTTTCTTTGTGTCCCTGTGCGTGTTGGAGGTAAAAGCTAAGCAATGCTTCTTGGCAAAAAACTGCAGCTGTGAAACAAAATTGTTTTTCACATCATTCAGAAAATAGAAGGAATCTTGGAAACGTGTACACACCGAGGGAGAAAGAGAAAGAGGTTGAGCCAGCGTTTTGTAGGCAGACAATTGTACGAGCCAGGAGGTGGTGTTTAGCACTGGACTGCTCTCAGTGTTCTGTCTACTTCAGTTTGGTGAGTCAGGCCTGTGCTGAATTGCCAAGGCTCTGGGAGTCTGCATGTGAGTGTGTGAGCATGTGCCACCCCTGGATTTACAAGCCTGTTAGACGTTCATAGTTTCTACATTTACAGTTCCTACTGGTATGGGCTCAAAGTGTTGGGTCTATTTTTTACATCAAACCTCAGTTATTCATGTTAATTCTTGACCAGGTTTGTAGTTTTCTGTGTAATAATAATATGCTGTGGAGGCACAGCTTGCTATGTTCAGTAATACTATGGTGACTTGCCTTCCTTTATATTCAAGAATCATTACACACGTTTTGTTCAAGGACCAAAACTTTTCAAAGAACACAGTACATGGGCCAATCTTTGGTTAACTCTTAACTACGATTGGGTTGCTTTATTTATTTCAGTTCCTACTGTCATAAACAGAAAACATTGGCCGTGCTGTTTTAATTTTCAAAGTTATATATTTTTCTTGTCTTTTTTTTAAATAAAGTTTTGTTTGTGACTGCTGTTTCAACTGCAAAACAAGTTTACAGAAAACGAACCTCACAAAACTACTACCTGCTTACATAACTCATGTTTGTATTGTTAACTTCAGTTTCTTGAACTCCTTAACTTTACCAAACAACCTGGTGCAACATTTTGTTACAGCAACTCACCAATTTAGGTAGTCCAGCTTTTACTTAGCAGTGTTCAGGGGACAGGACACTGACACTAAAAGCACTAAGGCATCATTGTCAGTTCTGAGCTTCTCTAATGATGACTGCTGCCTCAGATTCCGCACGATAATTTGATATTTTCTGAGTCTGACCCGAGCTTGATGTGGCTTGTTGTGGCCAGTTGATTGTGCTTCCAAAGAAGAGTTCTGAATAGTTGCATTATTAAGAAAAATTCACAGAGCTTCCAAAGGCTAGCATTTTTTAACGAATACATTTGAAGGAATATACAAGATTTAAACTAAGATATTTTTATGATGAGAACAGAGAGAGTTTTATTTGTTTTGGTCGAACCTTGTAAATTACGTTATGTGCTCACTCATCCAATTGTGCACAATCTTACATGATCTGTAAGCCCTTACAGTAGACGTTGAGGATGGCTCTCAGCTACTACCACAGCATCAAATTTAGCTCAGAGTTTCTAGCTCACTAAGATATATTCATTTTTGTGTGTGCTAATGTTAATTAGTTGTGGTGGCCATATTGAATAATGTTGATTACAAAATCTATTTTATTTATAACTACTGTATACATCCAATAATTTTATCTGAGAGTTTTATTCAAATTTGTCGACTGGTTCGTGATATATTTTGCAAATGCTACAATAATAAATAAAAAAATAAGCACACATACACACATATAATTAGACAAAAACATTTCCTTTTACATCAGGCAAAAAATAAAGTTATTTGCTTTGTTATCTGAAATGATAGTAATCTTCTTTTGACTGTGTATAACTGAATGTGTTATGTATTATTACAAAATTTGGTTAAACGCAATACAATCATAAACTAATAAGACTGCTACAGATAACATTAAGAACACATAAAACAAACACTGAACCAGCCACATCATTATCACCACTGATGGTAAAGTAGCACCCTTATTTTGTGACAAATAATCTTCTGTAGAACAAAGATTACAAAACAACAGCAACATTAAAATGTTGCTGTTGTTTTTTTCAGACTCCTACTTTGTGTTTTTTTTGCTGGAGATCAAAAAGTAATATATTATGTGACCGCAATTTGTCATTTTAAAGTTCAGAACAATACCAGTAGGCTGGTTTGCTAATGTGGTACTCCTTTTTTGAATTTTACTATATATATATATTTTTTTTTTTACAAACAAACTGAGATTTAAAGAAGTGTTCAAACTGAAGTATCTTTATAGTAAAATTGCACTGTACATGCTCAAAAAACTCGAAGTAGAGAACAGACTGAGATAGAGATGCAAAGTTAGAAGGAGTCCAATTTCAAAATCTGTTTCTTGATCAGGGCTGCTGCATAATGTGTCATTTCAGATTCAGACGGTGCTGTCCACGAGTCTTTGATGTACATGTGTGCCTGTTTGTCTGTTCATGAGTTGGTGTTTGTGTATGTTGGCAGCACACACTGACAGCCTGAGAGTTAAGTACTTGGCTGTCCTGGTATCCATAATGAGCCCCAAAGCGATGTCCAGTTTTACTCTGTCTATCCCGTTTGTGTGTGTGTGTATGTGTGTGTGTATGTCTGTCAGTGCATGTGTTTATGCATTTCCATGTTTGTCCAACATGGCACCAACCTAGATCCATTGCCAAGACTCCCATTAGTGAAGCACTGTGCATTAAAACCCCATTACCATCCTTTTCTAATAGAAATACACACGCACCATCGTAACTTTCTCATACTCAAATGCGCATACACATATTAGTTGACTGACACAATATGTACACATTTGCCACTGGGCATTCTCTTCTGTTACGAGGATTTTTACAATCCATTTTCTCACACCAAGGTCAGGATTACACATGGTAAAACAGACCTCCACTGTCTTTTTTGCCTTCTTTGTCATTGATCTCCAGGAGTTGCTCGTAGTGCCAATGTCCTCTTTTGTGTACATTTACTAGAACTTTTAAAAAATGCAGCACATTTTATCGGCCATATTTTCAATGCGTCTGTCCATCTTCAGGTTGTCTATACCATCTATAAAGAGAACTGATGCTGGACTGTATCAGTGTACAGTGAGGAACAGGATGGGAGCTCTAATACACAGAAGAACAGAGGTGCATGTTGCTTGTAAGTACACACAGACTGTACTCATTACACACATATTGGTGTAAAAAGATCTACTTTTTATATCAACAGCAATTCTTTTTTATTTTATTTTTTTAATTTTATGTTATGTAACAAAACAAATCAGCAGAAACCTTGTCACACCAAGAAGTGTAACACTTTTTCAACAAAATTAAAATTAAAACAGTTCATTTTGTTGGACAGCTATACTGGTAGATCTCATTTAACTAATGAAACTCACAAGTAGTGGCTCATTTCACAAATTTATAACCGTTTGTATTTTCACATGGTTGTGCTCAAATAAATAAAAGTAGCATACTTTGATGGATTGCATATTGCCAAATGTTTGCATGCAAAGTTTAAAAACAAAGATCTTGTGTAATCAGTGCTCAGAATTTGAGTCTCTCATGTTCAAATATCAGTAAACATAACAGAACTGTAGCCATTTTTGTGTATCCAAGAGAAATTAGATGTGGCAACCAATTAGTTAGGCTGACTCCAAAAATTAATGATTACTATTTTTTACAGATGGTCATCTTTATATTTTTGTTGTGATATCATATCAGAATTTTTTTTTTCTCTCTGTGCTCCGGTGCAGACAGCCTTGCGCTCTTCTGCTACGTCCCCCTGCTTCCCCGCTTTGCTCTCTTTCATCTTGTGAACCCTATAATAAGCCTCTTTTTTTCCTGCATACCTTCTTAATTCGAAGGATTTTGATCAGCTGGTCTCTCAACAAACTTGATCAGCTTCTCCTGACAGAAAGTCAGGGTAAGGAAGACCCTCTTACCTCGACGGAAACAAATTGGATTCATGATGACAACTGGATTCTGCTGTTTGGGTTGGTGAAATCTGGATTGTCTACAAATTCGGGTGGATGTGTCGAAGCTTGGCAGCACTCAGACTGAATTATGTGCAGCTGCGTCAGAGAGCTGAAGCAGGCTGTTATCAGGACTGTGAACTTTCTGGCAGCACCCATGAATGGTGGGAATAATCTTGGAGAAGCTGCAAGCTCGACTTTCAGCGTAAGGAATCAATTTGGCTGTTTGGAGTCACCATCAGAGAAATGTGCCAGCAAGACTTTGAAAGGCAGAAACGGCAATTTACGAGTTCTGCCTGACCCAAACGGTGGCCTTGATGGCGGACTTATCTCAATACCTCCTGGCATGTTTAGGAAAAACAAAGGCACTTTGTCTGTCTCCTCACCCCTCCCTTCCCCATGGCCGTGGACATGTGATGGAACCTCAACCAAGCTGATGATAACAAACACCTCTTATCTGGACATGGGCTGAGGGGGGCTCTGGACTATGCTACGACCTTCCCTTAAAATTCAATGCCTTCACCGGCCTATATGTATCATGTCTATTTATGTTGCTTTGCTGTGGTCGGTTTTTTGATGCCTCAAATCGTGCCCTGTCTAGGACATGGTGTGAGAGATCTTTTATTTATACCTTCTCTCCTCATGTTTTCTTCCCTTTTCTCATCTAATCCAAAATATTATTCTGAATAAGAATAAGAGGGCCGCGCTAATTAGCCGCAGCTTTGTGCACTCCGTCCATCTTTCGGACATCTGTACGTACATGTTCTCGTTGTATCTCGGTGCAATGACAATGAAGCTTATTCTGGTTCTGACAATTTCTTTCTTTTTTTGGTCTGGAGATATTCTTGGGTAGCCTGACCTACTGTATCTTTATTAAACTTATAAAGAGAATTGTTTATGTGCAAGTGACTTGAATTAAGCCCAACATAATTGGCAAGCTGTCAAAACACAGAGTTGGGAATTTGTCTTGAGTGCAACCAGCATATAAATGTGTAAAAACGTCCTGGTTTGTTGAAGTGGACAATACACGAGTTTATGGTACAAATGTACAATCTTGATTTTTTTTATTTTAATGATGCTTTTATTGATTCAACCATCTCTTCTCTCCACTATCAAGTTTTGGGAAATTTCTCAGCTGAGGAGCAGAGAAAGACAGTCACTCAAGGCCAAGCAGCCGTCATCAGTCCACCTCCACTTACTTCTTATCCTCAGTCCTTGGTCACATGGTACAAAGATGGACAGAAGGTCATCCCCAACAGCAGAATGTATGTATTTTTGTCTATCTATCTATCTATCTATCTATCTATCTATCTATCTATCTATCT